GATGGAAAGAGGATTAGTAGGAGAGTATGATAGATCTCCATGGGTATCTCCTGGAACACTGAAGCATTTCATCGAACAACTCTATGGGATTCAACACTGCTTTATGGAATATTTCTACAAATGGCACTGGCAACAGCATGAGTCTCAGTGCACCCCACGTGGTTCTAGGTTGGTGCTCTTCAGCCCTTCATCCTGACTACTGAACATGGAAAACTGCACAATCAGCTGTATAAGTGGAAAATTCTTTGTGAAATAGCTCACTATACTTTGTGAAATATATCTGCACTGGCTTAGTTTAATTAACTTGTAGTAGGACAACCTTATAGTAGCTACCAGTCTTCAGCAGTTCTTAGAGGTTTGGATATTCTGGCTGTGTTACATCTGGAAAATATGTTTTGGTATTTTCAGGGAAGGATGGGGAAAGAAGTCTTACCTCTTTCACAGAGGTCTTCAGAGGAATGAACCCTGACAGCATCTCCACCTCCACCAGGGCCATGTTACTGGTCTCACGGTCCCCTACATAACTGAAAAAATGGAATAAAGAAGCACATTAGGTGTGGAAGGCATCACAACTTTTCTAGGAGATAGTGGTGAGCACTTCCAAACTCTGGCCTGCTCTACAGTGGTATGAAAGCTCAACAGCATGTACAACTGATGAGTTAAAGAGACAAAAAAAACACCCCCATTTACTTGCTCAATATGGAGATAGATTGTGCAGTAAATGTGTTGTGGTTAATCCTCATTCTGCCCTCTCCAGTGGGTGGAACTGATCTATGATGTTGCAGGTTCAGAGTGTCAGTGTTGGCAATATTCTCTCTCAGCACAATAGAGCATGGAGAATATGGGCCAAACACATCCTAGACAGATGCAGGTGAGTGAAATACAGGTAGGGAGTGAAGTTTCTGCTCCCTGGTTCCAGCAGAGGCTTGCACTGCAGGAAAATGCACCTCAGGACTGGTTCAGCCCAGGCTGCCAAGTGTCCCCCAGGGGTGACCTCTGGCTTTTGGGAACACTGCCATCTCAGCTGCTAGTGCTCTGGGGTCTGCTGAGCTGCTCCATGGTGACTGAGATAGCTGTGGTTTTGTAGGCCACTGCCAGTGCATACCCATTCTTCTTCAGGCTTTAATTCTCAGTTCACAATCTTTTTGGGATCTATGGAGAAGAAGAGAGTCTTCCCCTCTTTCTTTGTCTCCACGGTCAGGAGGTTTTTATGGGGTTCTGGACATACTTCTTGTGCTCCCACTTATTTTCACTGAAGAAAGACCCTCAAGGGGTCTCTTACCTGACAGACACATGCATGTCAAGCTGTTTCCTGACACCATCACAATCTCTTGGTACTGCTTCCACATCCAGGACAAAGACCTCTTCTGTTTTCAGTGGTGGGGTGTTGTAGTACAAAGTGGTCTGGTGATGGAGAAAACATCTCTGTGATGTGCCCTGGAGATTTTCTGTATGAGCTAAAGGACTATCTGTACCTCCAGCTTTTAAGGAATTCATAACCAGTGGCTAACAGTTGCTCTCAGCTGCTCTTTCTATTCAGACGTGCTGTTTAGCACATAGTGTCAGATACATCTGCCACATGTAACCTTCAGCCTGGGGTCTCAGCGAGCTGTGATCCTAGGCCACTTTCAGTACAACATTTTCTCAATCTTATGGAAAAAAATACTGTTAATTTGTGAGAAAATACATTAGCTAAAACCCTGCCCGCAAGGAGAAAGAAGGGTAACTGTTAGCTGTTGAAATGAGAAGAGTTAGTAGTTTTAGTTCTCAAGAGGAAAAATACTGACAAAACAGGTATAAAGCCTTTAAGGATTAAAGAAAGAGCAAAGAATTAGAAGAAGACAACTCAGCAAGAGGGATGATCATGCTTTTCCAAAGAGCAGCATAGGTCAATCTTCTTCCTCCTGCCTGATGACTGACTTGCCTGGCCAGCAGATACCTTATGCTTATTGACTATATTCAAGTGTAGCCAAGCAGTATGAGCCCAACCTCCTACATGTATTAACAATAAATTTTCTTGTGTGTTCTCTTGTCTATACACTACCTGCAGATTCTCTGTGAGCATCATAGAATGGTTTGCATTGGAAGGGTCTTTTAAAGGTGCAACACCCCTACAAAGGGCAAGGACACCTTCCACTAGACCAGATTGCATCATAAGAGATGTCTGGACAGAAGTGACCCAGTGAGAGAGGTTTCACAGGGAGTAACTTGAGTTCTTTGCTGTGTGAGTGGCTCATAAAGCAGACCACTATCAAAGCTGCCAGAAAAATGGGAGGTATTCTCCTGGTGGACCAGATGTGTTGGTGTACTGGGATAAGAACTTGGTCCTACACCACTCCTCATCTCTGCATGCAATAACAACCCCCAAAAAAATTATGTCAGAAGATATGTAGTGCTCAACTTCTGAATAAGTGACATCAGTATCATATGTTTGGTATGGAAGCAGGTACTTTTCTGTATCTCACAACTGACTTCAGCTCTGCTGATCTCTTAACAACGAAGTGGCTCTGTAGCACGGGACAGCAAAGCTGAGACATTTCTGAGAACATACCATAGACAGTTGCAATAAAAACATGTAAATAGAGTATACCTGAACTCCTTCAAGCTTGATTCTGCCTAGAAAGCCAAGTCCTATTCAGAATTTGAGGCTGTAGTGCCTGCTTAAGAGCCAAACCTCACTTGAATAGTGAGTGGTAAAACCTTACAGCTCTGTTCCCAATATATATACTCACCTGCACATAAACACATCCGCTGCCTGTTGCCTGCACTGTGTACTTTCCTGGGACTGTAAGGAGAGATCCCTGATGCAGGACTAACTTGTTGTTCCTCTGGATGTGGAACTCCAATGGTAAAACCTCCTTGCCTTTCACTGTCACCTTTACATCTCTGATGTCCTGAGGAATCAGGGCTGCATACTGAGCCAGGGCTTGCAGGCTTACAACTGTGTCCTGCAGGCAGAAGGAGAGTCACTTTGCTGTGGAGTAATGTGGTACAAAATCTGGCACATTAAGTCAAGCACTGCAGGGAGGACCACACAACTCATGGTCCAGAGTCACACTCTTACACAGGGAGGGCCTATGCTGTGCAGACAGCAGAATGGCTTCAGCTGTCTGGAAAGGCTGGTTTCTGAACCCTGGGGCTAGCAGGAATCCAAATTACACTACATGGAAAGAGAGTTTTTCAATTTCATTCCCATTCCCAAGCAGTGCTCATATATGCCTGTCTGCAAAGGTTGGGTCTAGAGTGATATGCATATGAGACATATAAACATCACTCCAGGTACAGTAGCTCTCTCCTTCCTCCATAACTTTTCCCATTTTGTTACCTGTGTGGAAGCAAATCCTCCAAAGGCATTTCTTTGTCCGCTGAGCCAGTGCACCAGCTTGCTCACTGAGGCTTCACTGAATGTCACGTCTGGTTTGGAGACATGTGCCAGGAGTATGTAGGCTACTGTCTCAATCATAGAAGAAGATTCTTCACTACTGGAATGTGATGTCAGGAGCTCTGCTGATGGGGGGAGAAACATTTGAAAGAGAAGAACAGTAGATCCCTATGAACGTCAGTTTTCTGTACACCATCAGAAATTCTTGTGCTTCTCTAGGGAACCTCAGAGCACAGAACCAAGTCCTCTTGTTGGTTTTGTACTTGGAAGGGCCAGCCATCTATGACAGGCTCCATTTCTTCCTTTGAAAGCACAGACAGATCCAGGCCCCAACACCTCAAGCAGTTCCTCTAGGAAATGGTTCCTCTAGAAATTGATGGACCCTGAAGAGAGGCTTTTTGTTTACAGTGTTAGTCTTATTCAGCTCTGTTTTTTCAAAGTTATGTCTCCAAGCGTTTTTGCTGTTTCTGCATTTACCTTGGATAGTCTAACAGGGCTCCCTGTGCTTAGAAGGTATAGGACTCGTTTCCCGTCAGTTGTACATATTGGAAAAGAATTTGCCACTCTTTGAGAGAGAATTGCTAGCTAGAGCTGGGCTCCCACCTATGGCCCAAGCTCACAGGCACTGAATGCATCTGAATGAGGTTGAATATTTTGCAGTGGTGATAGTAGGAGGCTAACCAAAACTCAGCTAAGAATTTAGCTTAATTGTGGCACTGTAGACATCTGCAGTTGTACAAATGTGAAAACCACAAATTTCTTTAAATTCAAAGTAAGTTTTTGGAATGAAACCTCACTTTTGAAATAAGAATCACAAAATCACTTGTTTGTATAAAACCGTAGTTAAGACTTTAGAATTTAACTCAGTGGCTCTATGGACTTGTGTTACTTCATTGCATTGAAGGTTTTTGCCTGAGAGGTTTACAATTTTTATTTTTTATTTTATTTTTATTACCAGAAAATTTCTTTCATTAAGTGGTAGAAGTTATCTCAGAGGTGCAGCTACAGATGACCTATAGATTAACCTTGCCTCTTTAAACAGCACCAAACTCTTGTTCGAGATCCAAATTTAATTCTTTAGCAAGGCTAATAGAATTCCAGCAGGAGATAATGCTCTTGGGAAGAAATTGTCCAGCAGGCAAACTGGCTGCAGCTGGTGACTGCAGTCACTTCTTCAGACTCACTAGGCAGAACACAGACACATTTAAACATGTAGGACAAGATCTTCCCCTCACTTTTAACTCCATTGCTCTTACCAAGTCATTGCTAACTATTATCAGGGGAAGCAAGAGCCAAAGAAAACTTTCAGTTGCCCCATTGGCCATTTGTAGTGCTCCATGCCCTAGTGCCTCAAGGGGACGTTTTCTATAGTGCTTGGAAAGTTTGAAGCATCAGACTGACTGAACATCAGTGAAGATATGTTCCAGTCACTTTTTCCATATGTACTATCTGAGAGGCAGCTCTGAAAAATTATTGCACTCAGTGTGTGCAATTCTAATCCTTCCAGTTACCCCACTAGCCACCTTGTGAAGCCTGCTGGAAAGCCTGAGTCGATATGCAGTGAACTACACCCTACACTGGCAGCTGGTCAGGCTGAAAAGAATCTTTTTTTCTTTTGTGTTATCTTTCAGTTCCCAAGGTGGTTCACCATACTGATTTTCACAGCTTCAATAAATTACAATTTTCTGACACAAAAGGCAATCTGGAAAAAGTTGAATTTCCCAAACCACTGTAATCCAATCCTGCAGATATCAGGCCCTAAAGAGTCGTTCTCTCTAGAACCCAAAAACTAAACAGCAACAACCTACTAGTTTCTTTCTCTAGCATATCCAGGAGCCGCTCTCTCATCTTCATGTCCTTGCTCAGTGTGAAGACATAAGCCATCAAGGCCTTGACATAAAGGCTTGTCTTGTCAAGTGTTACATTCTTGAGGCAACATAAGGCATTATCCAGCATGGTGTCCTGAGAAAGGAACTCAAACTCAGTTAATTTCTTGTGGCCACTTTTTGTTGAGAAAATCTGTCCTCAACCCTCAAGCATCCCAGCTACACCCTTAATGTATTTCTCTGCTAGCATCTCTCTCAGTGCTGTGGGACATGAAGTAGAGTGGACAAAACAACACTCACCATCAGCTGGAAACAGAGATGTGACTGGACATACCACTGTATTTGTTAATACACTAGAGAATCCAGCTGTAGGAAGTGTCTGGCAATACACTGGCTGTCAAATCTGCGTGCTGTGGGTCCCAGGTCCCTAGGGGCTCTGATGTTGTACATCAGTAAGGCTGGAATATCAGCCTATTAAGGCTAAAACAGTCTACACTTTGCTTGAAGATCACTGCTTCTGTTTCAGGTCTGAAGGAGGAGGGGTTGCATACATTAATTTTTTTTTTTCCTTTAACTATATTGGTCAGTTTGATGAAACCTGTTTCTTCGACCTGCAAGTCCTGAGCCATTTTAAGAGACAGCTGTTTCCCCTGAGGTCAGTTAGGAATAGCAGATTCTCTGTTTTGCAAATCAGGCTATTTACATTAATAACTCATTACCAAGCAAAACATTTCCTACTGAGCTTATTTGGTACACAGATAGGACATGATAGCACCTTCACCAACTCCAGCTGGGCAACCCCTGAAACCGCACACCTGGGGAAGACTGAGGGTGGAGCATTCTCCCAAGTCCTGCCAGAGTTTGGATGTGACTTACATTCTTCTCCAGAGGGAGCTCCACCAGTGCAGCAGCTATATAAGCTGTTAAAGAGATTGTATTGTCCACACCACCCTGCAAGTTGCAGAGACAAACATCAGAAATGGACAAAACCAATCATTATTTGCCTGCCTGTCATTGTATAGCCCCTGAAACTGCCTATGGATGGCATATCTGAGAGAGCACAGCAGGATGCCTCTGGGCATGTTTTGACATGTGGGGATTGAAGGAAAGCACTCTAGGCTCACTTACTGAGTATCATCAAATCCTGCTGTTGAGGACAGCCTCAGGGCCATATTATGCATTCAGCCAAGCTGTGCCTTCTCATAGAAGGGCATGAAGGAAACTGGTAAGCTATTTTTTTTATTAAATATGTTACCATTTAATGATAAGGGATTTGCATACAAGAAGCAATGCAAGTTTACATACAATTCAGCTGATTGTGAGAAGCTATAGGTTCATAGAGGTAAACAGGTTCACTGGAGCCTCTTTTCCCATCAGAGGACATTCATTCTTGGGATGTTTTGTTTACATTCTTAGACATGAGACAAGACTGCATCTAAAATGAGGGGGGAACTTTGGGCTGAGATGATGAGAAGCATCATTCACAATGAATAACAGAATTTTTTAAGTGTAAAGGGGATGGGGTGGTAAAACCTACTCCAAAAAGTTCTGTTCAAATAGAAAGTCCGATCTGAGAAAATAATGAAAGTCAGACAAAGATAAACAGTCTACTTATTTGGGGGATGCCAGGCTCCAGACAAATTCATACTTTTTGGACAGTGGAGGAACAACCATGTCTTCAGATAATTCCATATTAAAGCACATAGTCAGGCCTATCTGGAGAGTACTGTGTGTTATAAGGCATAAGAAGAGGAAGAATCTAGTCAGGGTATTCTAGACAACCACTAAAATACAAAATTTCTCCCTGTGACCTTGAAGTGCCTTGGCTAGAGTAAAAACTAAGAAAGCCTAGCAGAGATTAAAACCTCACATAGAGGATATGGTTTAGGCCACACTTTTTCATTCTGCTATGGGAAGCTGCCTTGGCTGTGCTAGTCCATGGGGACATTGTTTTGTGCTACTATGCACAGAGGAAGAGCCTAGGGAAGCAACCCCGTACTCCACATTGTGTTCCACCTGCTCCCACTCCTACATCTGGCAGCCATACCTTCAAGTCATTGTTGAAGAGCTTCCCCACACTCTGGAAGCAGCCACTGGGCAGCTGGTGCTTCTGAAGCCACTGCAGAGCATCGTGCACATGATCCTTATTGATGTAAATGTGAGTGCTGGCTTGCCCAAAGGACCTGGCTACAAAAGCTGTCAGCCTGTGGACAGAGCACAAAGGAATTCCATGTCACAGCCAGGAGATGAAACAGCAACGACAATAGGTTTGGGATGACAGTACCAATGCTGGTCACTCACCATGTGTTGCCCTGATTGTCAGCTTTCCCAAAGGCACTGTAGGATCCATCATCATGTTTGTAGAGCAGCTGGCGCTGGTAACCTATGAAGACAGGTGCCAGGACACAACAGTGTGAGAGTCTGTACTGTCTCAAACTGTATCCTTGCTGTGGGAAGAAGCCTTCACAGCAAGAGATTTCAGGTTAGGACCTGGTGAGTCCAGTCAGAGACACTGAGGCAAACCTAGCACCACATCATTCCCCATGCATCCCACAGCATTAGCATGACAAGAAGCAGTTGCACAGCATCTCCAAAGTGCTTAATATAGGTTGTTCTACATTACTAAAGCTGCTCTGTGCAAGTAATGTGGGTATCTGTCCTGCTGGTTTGCAGAATGATGACATGCTCACCCAGTGAACCCACAAAGACACCTTGCTGTAAACAAAAAGAGCTGTAGGGGTGAGTAGAAAGATTTTCCTAGAGGGGACCAATAGGAAACCCTCATTGTTTTTCAGCACTTCTGCTAGCCCTACTGGGTCTCAAGAAAAAACTTTTGATGGAACATTCAGAAAGCGAAAAGGCCACCCCTGTAAGCTCTGAGAGCAGAACACTCCTTCACTCTCCACACAACCTCATGGTTCACTGTCCACTTCATCCATCTGCTCTCACCATTCTATTGGGTATGCCCCTCTCTCCCAGTATCTGTCCTTACTCGTTGTACAGGAGAGAAAGGAGGAGGGAGAGAGAGTAAAATCCGTTCCCTGGAAGGCAACTGAACTTGTAGCATAGCAGGATAACAAGACCAACAGACTGGAATTTGAGGCACGTAGCAAAATGAGACACTGATACTGACACTGTATTAAATTCAGATTATATTGGACAGCTGACATACACCCACAATATGTGTTCTAAAGAACAAGAAAACTCTAAGCTACCAAACTCCTGTCTATCCCCAAAGGCCACTCTTTATTCCAGTTGATAGCAGCTGATACCCTGTTTCCACAAGAGAATTTACTCTACCTTGGACTAACACAGGAACAAACCACAGGTGTCATGTAATGATGGAGATCATTAATTACCCACACTCTTCTCAGAAAAGCAGGCTTAGTACCTCAAAAGGTACAGAAGTCCTATTTCTTCAGAAAAAACAGTTTTCCTTCCATGAGACATTTCCCTCATCCTGTGTGATATTTGACTTTGTGATAGCTGTGGCCATGCTCCCATTCCTGCC